ATATCTCACCTGCCGCCGCCCCCCAGGGCCCCCGAATGGAAGCCCAAGGATCTGACGCCGAACGGGCAGCACAGCTAACCGCGCCCGAGAAGTGATCAAACAAGGTCGGGGCCCAACGCGCGAGGCGTACAGGCCCGCCCGAACCTCAGCGAGACGGCGTACCGTCCGTGAGAAGCGGGCATTCGATTGCCCCCACTGTAGTTTTCCCTCCATCCTCCGCGCGCAGGTTTTGGCGGCCAAAGACACGTCGTGCCCGGCCCCTGCGGCATTGGGGGAGCGGAAGGAGGGAATCGACACCCGAGCACGCAGACGCAGTTAAAGCGCCGGCGGATATCGAGATCGACCTCCCCCCCGAGAATTAGGGATGTCAGCGATGGTCAGCGACCAACAATCGACAAGCCCCATCGAAACCTAACGTGCAGAGACGCCAGGAATTCGGGCGACCCTCAGGCGAACCGCGAAGGCTGCTGAAGGCCGCAGAACCGTCCCGTACGTCGAAAGCCCAACCTAGGGGTTGAAAGCCTTGACACCGAGAATCGATTACAGCAAGCAAGAAACCAACGAGTCGAGACTATAGACGGGCGAGAAATCAAATCCTAGTTAAAAGATTGTGACTAGCCGCGCCCACGCCTACATATACCCCCCCCGGAACGATCGCTAGAATGAAAGTCAACCGTCAAAACGTACAAAAGAATGCTCTCGCCTACTTTTGGTTTTTCGGAATCACCTCACCCTACATATACCCACGAGGTCTGTTCGAGTGATTTCGCACGCGTCACGTGCAGTGGGCCCAGCCTGATCTGGACTTGCAGGCTATTTATATGGGCCCAGTCGAAAGTGGGCTTGACACCCGCAAAATTAACAGTTTCCAGAGGCTCGAACGGAACAAAATAGCGGACTTGGTTAAATTTTTTTTTGGGACTTCAAGACTCGAAGGAGGCATAAGTCGGCGGGGAGGGGAGCTATAGATCCGGCACCGCTGGAGGGGGTAAAGCAGGCTGATAGGATGCATCTATAAAAGCCACGACTGGATTGGGGGAACTTTTTCATTTTTTGGGTAGGGAGGGTTCGTTCGCCGTGAAGACGCAGCTGTTCGCTGTGGAAATAATATAGATCTTCTGGGTCTTATGGTACCGTTTGGGCCCGTGGCACCATTTCGGGTTCGCGGTACCTTTTTGGCCCGCGGTACCACTGGTACCACTTTTAGAGCCGGACTTTCGGAGGGCTTACCGGGGCCCGGCGGCGGCGAGGTCTACACCGATGGGCTCCAAATCGTCCGTAGAGCATGCCTGGAGCGGTCCCGGGCCGATTCGGGGCACTCTGAAAAACGGTACCAAAAAGTGGTACCAAAAAAAAATGGTACCAAAAAAATGGTACCAAAAAAATGGTACCAAAAAAATGGTACCATTTCGTGGTACCACTTTTAGAGCCGGACTTTCGGAGGGCTTACCGGGGCCCGGCGGCGGCGAGGTCTACACCGATGGGCTCCAAATCGTCCGTAGAGCATGCCTGGAGCGGTCCCGGGCCGATTCGGGGCACTCTGAAAAACGGTACCAAAAAGTGGTACCAAAAAAAAATGGTACCAAAAAAATGGTACCAAAAAAATGGTACCAAAAAAATGGTACCATTTCGTGGTACCACTTTTAGAGCCGGACTTTCGGAGGGCTTACCGGGGCCCGGCGGCGGCGAGGTCTACACCGATGGGCTCCAAATCGTCCGTAGAGCATGCCTGGAGCGGTCCCGGGCCGATTCGGGGCACTCTGAAAAACGGTACCAAAAAGTGGTACCAAAAAAAAATGGTACCAAAAAAATGGTACCAAAAAAATGGTACCAAAAAAATGGTACCATTTCGTGGTACCACTTTTAGAGCCGGACTTTCGGAGGGCTTACCGGGGCCCGGCGGCGGCGAGGTCTACACCGATGGGCTCCAAATCGTCCGTAGAGCATGCCTGGAGCGGTCCCGGGCCGATTCGGGGCACTCTGAAAAACGGTACCAAAAAGTGGTACCAAAAAAAAATGGTACCAAAAAAATGGTACCAAAAAAATGGTACCAAAAAAATGGTACCATTTCGTGGTACCACTTTTAGAGCCGGACTTTCGGAGGGCTTACCGGGGCCCGGCGGCGGCGAGGTCTACACCGATGGGCTCCAAATCGTCCGTAGAGCATGCCTGGAGCGGTCCCGGGCCGATTCGGGGCACTCTGAAAAACGGTACCAAAAAGTGGTACCAAAAAAAAATGGTACCAAAAAAATGGTACCAAAAAAATGGTACCAAAAAAATGGTACCATTTCGTGGTACCACTTTTAGAGCCGGACTTTCGGAGGGCTTACCGGGGCCCGGCGGCGGCGAGGTCTACACCGATGGGCTCCAAATCGTCCGTAGAGCATGCCTGGAGCGGTCCCGGGCCGATTCGGGGCACTCTGAAAAACGGTACCAAAAAGTGGTACCAAAAAAAAATGGTACCAAAAAAATGGTACCAAAAAAATGGTACCAAAAAAATGGTACCATTTCGTGGTACCACTTTTAGAGCCGGACTTTCGGAGGGCTTACCGGGGCCCGGCGGCGGCGAGGTCTACACCGATGGGCTCCAAATCGTCCGTAGAGCATGCCTGGAGCGGTCCCGGGCCGATTCGGGGCACTCTGAAAAACGGTACCAAAAAGTGGTACCAAAAAAAAATGGTACCAAAAAAATGGTCAAAAATGGTACCAAAAAAATGGTACCATTTGGGGGTACGATTGGCTTGGGGCTTCGGGGCCCGACGACGGCGGGATACACACCGATGGGCTCCAAATCGTCCGTAGGATATGTCTGGAGCGGTCCCGGGTCGATTCGGGGCGCTTTGGAAAATGGCACCGAAATGGCACCATTCTAGCCCATGGTACACCACTTGGGTCCGCGACACCATTCCGCGATCCAGCCATTCCTGCATTATTACATCTACATATACATATATATGTTTGAAATGGCGGTTACATTAATTTGCTTCGGGGCCGTCCCCGCCGGACTCCGACAGCCCGCGCGCCCGCTAACTACTGTTTCTGATGCTCATGTCGGGCGGCCCCGACGGCGCGCGCGCGCGCCTGGTACGGCTTCAGATAGTTTATATTCAGCCGCCCCGACGCCCAAGCCCGACAGCCCGACAGCCCGAGAATACATGTGTCGCGGCCGCCCAACGCACCCCGGGGCGCTCCGACAGCGCGCGCGCGCGCCAAGGACAGTTACAATCAGCCGTCCCTTGACCACGTCGGGCCGCTCCGACGCCCCTCGCGCGCGAGTCCGACGGCGCGCGCGCCCGCTAAGTACGGTCACAATCGCATATTGTACACCTGTGTCGGGGCCGCCCGACGGCGCACGCGCGCGCGCCAGACCCAAGTGCGGTTATGTTATCAATAGCTGAGGAAGGCGGTGTCGCGCCGTCCCCGACGCCCATAATTTCCAAAAAATCTCGCGGCGGCGGCCTACGGCCGCCCTCGCTCAAGGGAAAAAAGAAGGAAGGAAAGAGAAGCGGAGGGGAGAAGTTAAAAAAAGAAATAAATAAATAATTCAAGATAAACAAACAAACAAGAATGAAAAAATAGACAAGATGAAGCAATTCACCCCGAATCCACGATTGCCGTTTCCCCCCCCTCTAATGGCCCGGGTCTCCAGCCGGATGCCGCTTGGTGGGAGGGTGTTACAACAAATCTAGGCAAGGATCGGGCTGACGCTCAGCGACTCGTAACAACAAGGCTACTTGACCGCTTACACGACCCGCTTGCTCACTTCGGTCGTCTGCAGAGGATTTATCCCCGCGCGTGGTGACATTGCAATCCGCCAGCTAGCGCCGAAGCGCCGGTGCCGGCCTGTTGAGGTTCAGGGCCGAGGCCTATTTGTATCCAACTACAACGTGCGGGGCAGGTATCGCCGCTTTCCGGCACGGATTCTGACTTAGAGGCGTTCAGCCATAATCCGGCAGATGGTAGCGTCGCGGCAATGCCTTGTCAGACAGCCGCAAAAACCAATTATCTGAATCAACGGTTCCTCTCGTACTAAATTGAATTACCGTTGCGGCGAACTTCATCAGTAG